ACCGCCACAACACACCTCTGGCTGAAAGCTTTGGAGCATTTTTCTCACTGGTGTCACGGGTGTAAGAGAAGTCCCGTCTCACCGGTGTGACGTGTCCAGCACACTGCCTGGCACTACTCCACACTAACTCGGCAGCCTTCTATTGACCTACATCCTTGTAGCAACTTGGCCACCGTGCCTGGCAAGCTACACAGCGTATCCGTGCGTAACGCCAGTGGGCCAGGGTTGGGGCTGATTCCTGGCAGGACCATCCTCAATCACACTTATTATTTGCTCAGCCAGCCACAGGCCATCCCCACGCAGTGCCCCATCACTGCAGACACTCCGGGTCCAACTGCAAGGGATGGAAACCAGGCTGCTCCCAGGAGCCATCGGCACCTTCAGTCCCCACCAAGTCGGAAGACGTGTCAACGAGGCTGTGAAGCCGGGCAACCTTCAGGCAGAAACCCTAAACCCCTGTGCACCAGGAGAGACGCCTCAAGTTGAAAGAGACCCTGTTTCATTTGAGAAACGGAGAAGGCAAAGTGGAGCGCTGCTGGAATGGTAAAGAATCCCGTGGTTTTCCGCACGTAGGACGGGCAGGTTCGGGGACGATGTGGGAGGAGCAGCCGCAGAACCAAGTGCAAAAAGAGTCAGCAGGCAGAGGGGTCTGGAAGCCACCACTCCCTCAAGGGCCCTAGTGGCCTGATGTGTAAATGGGGAAGACCGCTGCGGGGCCAGCCTCTCTGCCCCGCTTGGAGCCCAGCCGCCCTTACCCTGCAGCCAAACACCAAGGCGGTGGGATGGAGGGCTGGGAGGGACGTCAGCCAGAGGGCGACAGAGGAGCCGGCCAAGAACTCACCTCGCTCCAGCTCAGTCACCCTCAGCAGCAGAGCGTTCAGCGCGCTCTCAGTCTTCTGCCGGTGAGCGGAGGTCTCATTGTGAAGCAGGGACTTCTCGTCCTCCAGCTCGGCCACCTTGCGCAGCAGCTGACTCTCCAGCTCCCCCAGTCGCCGCTGGAGGACCTCTCGGAAGTCGCCGGGCAGCGCCGCGGTGGACACGTTCACTCGGAGCTGGTGCTTCCAGTTGGGGAGAGGGACGCGTGAGGAAGTATTAAGGCCATTTAGACAGAAATTGTGAAACGCAGCTCTAAAAGCCCAACCACACAGGGAGAAGCTTCCCAAACGGGAGCGTTAAACCGTGCCAAGGGGCGCACTTCACTGATGCTTTTTTTCTTCTTTTGTATGGAAAGGATTTCAAAGTCAAACAAGAATTACCTTGCTGCAATATCTGAAACTTAGGAATTCCATTTTTCTCTCTCAGAAAGCTGGTTTTCTCCTCTTGCTAAAAAGTCAAAATTTTAATCACTATCCACCATTCTTGGGTTAAGACTGCAACAGAGCTACGACTAAAAAAAAAA